ACTAGATATTACAAAATATCATAAAAATACCTACAATATGTTTAAAATTCTCTCTGCAACTATTACGAGCTCATTTTCTGTTTTCTTCTATGTACTATTATGTATAAGTTTTCTTGGTAAATCAATTTCATGATTCTCAATGAAAGTAGTAACAAATTCATTACATTTTCTTTTCACTACAGACGGGAAAGATGAAGGTATTATTTGTCGTGCTGGTTTCATAAAAGTATGCTTAAATTGTCCTGGTAGATTTTGTATAATTTCCGACTTGTCAGAAATTACCTGATTAGCTAAAGGGTCCTTCCATGATAATTTAGCAATATTCACATTATTTATACTTTGGTATAGATACTGGTTAATCGGCGTCGTTGTATTTTTCTTGAGTTTGGCCTTCAACTTATTTATATTTTTCTTTATCTCATTCATATTTAGAGGTATCTCTTTATTTGTTTTGACCGCTCCTATATCATGTAAACTGCAGACTCCTTCAAAAGCAATTTCAAACTAATATAATAGCAGATGCATTAGTTTCAGTAATAGAAGAATTTCATCATTAAAAACCGCATGCGCTATCAGTATATATGCAATGTTATCATCTTAGTGTGGCTATCACGCTGATGAAACCTTGTGTGATACCAAAATTATTACATAATATTCTATGGACCAACTACTCCCTCATGCATCGAGAATTATTCTTAGGGCAGAGCTAATAGAATGATTAAAAACATAGGCGATAGTTTAAACACCTTCCATACAGTTCAAGAAAATAGTTTCTTTACATGCAGGCTAATAGGATGATTACACTATCATTTCAACCTCGTTCTTGAGAGTAGATCACATAATATCATCATTTAGTGAAAAAAAATATTAATAAAGGTTAACAACTAACCTGAGGAAGTATTCGAAGTAGTTTTAATTAGCGCGAAGGTTCTTCAGAATATAAATTACTAGCAAATCCTATAGCCTGATCCACAATACTTCTCAAATCATTTTGTGAAATCCAGGGGTCTTCTTCTATTCCCTGATATATAACTGAGGTGGCGGTAATATGTTCTTGTTTAGCTGTTACTAAAAAATTGTAAATTTTTGAATATAGTTCAGAAGACATAGTTTAGTATTATTAATATAGAATAAGCGACCAGAACGAAAAATTTTGTATGCTATCCTTTTAAATGATTCTATGTATGTTCTCTATAGGCTTGTATTCATATTAGGGAGAAGAGACAGAAGAATATGCAATGCTTTTTATGCCAAAATTTTGCATTAGAGAATAGGAATATGTGAAAATATGCATTGAAAATCTTGACATTTAGAAAGGTATTAAGAGTAATGCATATATAGATTTTTTCGTCTGTCCGGATTAGAATGACTGAAGAAGGGAGAAATATCCTCTATGATCAAAAATCTTCAGGGCGAATAGCTATTAGGGTTTATCTTCTGTATCGAAGGAGGGGGGTCGATTTATGTATAAAATTATTTTATTGCACAAGCAGATGATCGCACTTACACAGATGACTGGCAGTATATCACTATTACATCATATTTTAACGAGGATCAGGAAAATGTTTATTTATGTTTTAGTGCCTTAATGACTATCGCACAATACCTACATGCATTGGCTTAAGATGCGGGCAAATATACTCTGTGGCTAAGATAATATTTGGGAACTTTCGTTAAGAAAAAAATATGAATAAAGATATAATGTATATCAAGTAATATATTAAAATTATTTCTCAATCAACAATTGTGATTTCTACCCCATTTCTTAATCTTAACATAACACCTTTTGACTGATTAAGATAGTTTATAGATGGTAGCAAGTTATTCTGTTTTGCATACCGAGACGAGATAAATATTTCGCTTGTATTGGTTTTGTAGTTCGAGGATCGATAAGAAGCTGGTGAAGATATTTCTTGCTTAGCAGATGAAATACCAAATGGCTTAACTCTACATTCCTAGTCCCAATGATTTTTCATCAAGTCTTTAGACTTTACTTCATAGCCCCATCTACGCCATCCGTCATAATATACCTTTCTTAGCTCTACTTCGGTAATTTTTATCAATTTCCAGCATTTAAAGCAGATAGCCATTTGACTTTTATGAACACTAGGTCTACGATACTCATGTGGAATATCTCTTAATCCATCAATATCATAGTCATAGAACGTCTTGTTTTTTCCTTGTCCAAATGAGGTGAAAAGACAGTACACATGGTATAAATTATATTCTCGCTTAGAAAGTAACTCTTGCAGAGCACCTCTTATGCGAAAAGCCCATTGCTGTGACATTTCATGAAGTCCAATAATAGATAAATAATCATATTGTCTTTCTATTTCAACCACTTTTTCAAGCCTATAGGTATTATTATAAGTCTGAACATTATGAATATGCTTCAAATCATATTCAGGACAAAGATTGATAGGTTTAGGTACAGCTTTATTATAAGCTGAACTATAACAGATTCAGGTTTATTAGTAGGTGATACATCTGATATCGGTGTTTGATTAAGCAAACAATCACTTATTTCTTCTGATACCTTCTGTTCACTCACGCTTGAAAGGGTACTAGAGATATCAGGCAGGTCATTTTGCATCTGTCTATAATCCTGCTTCAATTTCCCAACTCTATCTCTAAGCTCAACATTTTCAGACTTGAGTTTAGGGATATTAGGGATAGCTGACTCATTTTTCTTTAGCTCCACTATTTCAGCATTAAGTTTTCCAATCTTAGTTGTAAATTCTGCTATAGTATTATGAAACTCATTAGTTCTAGCCTTAAGCATCCGTTTTATCTCTAACTTCTCACTCTCAATCTCATTAATCTTGGCTATAAGTCTAGCATTTTCTTGCCTAAGCGAATCAAGCTCAGATTCCATTTTTGTAAATATATCTTTGCACTGTATATGGATAAGCATTCAAAATAAAAAAAATCTCACGTAATTTTGGGTGACCTAAGGTTGTTGAAATTTTGGCAAGAAAAAAATGAAGAGACAGACGCTGTGTATGGATTAGCAAAATCTTCTGAGCTAGTGGTCACTGCTCCAAACTAGTCAGAGTACCTATAATTATTGGAGGAGTCATATTATTACTATAATCATCTTCATTCTCTGATTCAGTCTCATTCTCAAAGCTCGAATATTCAGACTCTGTTTCAGTGAATTCCAAATTATAATACTCACTTAGATCAATATTTCTTTTCATATAAATATGAAAATGTTTGAAAAATTTGGTTAATATGACTTCTCTATCTGATTCTATTGCAATAAATTCGGGAAATAATAGCTCGTAGAATATATGCAATGAAAGAGGTAATTCCTAAAGATTTTTTCTACAGTGATATTACCTTTCTTGTTCTTCAATCTCTTTAGGTTTATTAACGTACCATGATGGGGTTTGATGTTTGTCAACATCATATCCTGTATGCATTAGCCATACAGTTCCTAAAACCAAATCATATTCAGACTTGTCAATAACTACAAAATTTGCTGTATCTATTCCAAAATATGAAGGGGTGACTATATCATCAAAGATATTTGGCAAAGCGACTGAAACTTTTTCTCTATCAACCCATTCCCTTCTCATTACTTTCTTACTAGCATTAGTTACGCCAATGCCTAGGTCTCTCACTGCAGGATATCCTGATCCATATTCTCTAGAAATATATAAATCCATTTTTTGGGCGAGCGTCTTACTAATGCTACCATGGAAGGATTTGGGATCAATAAGTGCTTTAACAGTTACTTTAGCTCGAATGAATGTACAATCCACTATTAATCTTTTGCGAATTTCTCGAATCACCTCATCTTTCCATATATTATTTATACTGCAACATTTTTTAAGATCCTGTATTGAAAGATTTTTTGGCGTAAGCTGATCAAGTAAATTAACTGTATGCATTTTATATAATTCGGAGATTTTTAATCGAAAAAAATTTAGATACAAAAAAACCTTCTAAGTAATGATTACTGCTTTAGACCCCAACCAATTTTTTTTAAATATCGGGTGGCGGTATCCAGATTAATATATTTTATTTTAAAATATAATCCAATTTCCTTGATAGTTGTATAGGTAATTCCACATTTGTAAATATCGAGCTGTTGGATCTTCGAACAAGAATGAATAATATTCCAAATTGATATTTCAGAAAATTCCTTGCGATCAGAAATACTCAGATATTCTAATTTATGACATGAATTTGCGATTGCATATAGACCTTTATCAGTTATTAATCTATCACCATGGCCCCCTAAGTTGAGATACTTCAGATGGGATACGATTCTGCTATTAGATTTAATATTTTATCACTGAATCCCTTACTACCATATAAATTTAAATGAACTATATTTGGGAATAAGCCTGCAATGTTTTCGAAATTTTTATCTAAAAGATGGTAAAATGGAATTTCTAGATGAATTACATTCAAGCAATAAACTGGCTTCTGCCCCCATGTATTATTTCCATAAAAATCTTTCATGCATTACTCGTCTTTAGCTCAATGCATTTCCATAAAATAGGAGCACTGCATCTATACCACAATCGAGACACAAATAAAGTGGAATATAATGATTTATCTATCACTAAGAAATGTAAAATCTGCTCCAATAGCTTTGCTATACTAAAAATTCTTGAATGCATCATAAATAGTGTGTATTATATACTGTATCTTTATTTGAAAAAATCTTCCGAGCTGATCACTGATCCAGATTAGTTAGATCGGTAGAGTACCACCATTCTAGGGCTAATATTCTTTCACCAGCTCTATGTCACCGACGCATACTTAGACCGGTAGAGTAATAGCATTCTGCTTGACCGGCTAGTATTCTATCAAAATAATTTTTCGGTATTTGTCTATTTATAGCTATAATGGAGTGATTGGTACCAGAGTCGACTGTTATAGATATATTGGAATTAGGTTGTCGGAATGCCTGATGAAACTGGGTTCTAATAACTGGAGGCTGTCTTGATAATATCTTTACTACTCGCTCTATTTTAGCTTGAATATCATTCGGATCCCGGTAATTCTCGATATGGATATTTGGATTTAGCTGATCTATGGCTTCTTTATTAATATTATCACACCCTTCCAGATTTAGATATTTTAAATTAAGACTTGATTTAGCAATTTCTTCGATAGTTATATCAGTAATTTTACAATAGCTAAGATCAAGTCGTTGGAGTCTTGGAATTGAATGAATAACATTACAAATTGATATTTCAGAAAACTCTGTGCGATTAGAAATATTTAAACATTCTAATTTATGACATGAATCTGCAATTGCAGTTAGACCTTTATCAATTTTCCATTGAAATAAATTACCTAAAACGGATATATTAAGATACTCCAAATTTAGGGATGATTCTGCTATTAGCTTTAGAACTTTCTCAACAGACTCAGATTCCATGCTTCCTTCAAAATCTAAATGAATTATATTTTGGAACCTGTGTACAATGCTTTTGATTTTTCTATTTGAAAGCCAGTAATCTGATATTTTAATATGAGTTAATTTCGAGCTATAAATTGGTTTACGCCTTCTCCCATATACTATTTTTAAAAATTTATTTAATTGAGTTCGATCATCCACACCATTTAGCTCAACGCGTTTCTATAGAATAGGGCACTACATCTGTACTAAAATCGGCAAACAAATAGAGCAGGATAGAGAGATTTATCTATCGTTAAGAAATATAAAAACTGTTCTAATAATTCTAGTATAATAAAAATTCTTGATTGCGTCATAAATAGTCTGTATTATATGTTGTATCTTCAAACGAAAAAAATAAATTATCTGGTCAGTATTTGCAATTTTAGATAAAGTGGAACATCCAATTTAACTAAAATTTCACATAACCCTTTGAAAGAATCAGAAGGTTCCTCATAGGCAAACTTGATCTTTGCCTCTTGATTAAGACCTCTGAAAAAAACCTTTTTTCATCTCTGCTTTGCATTTATCTTTAATCAGCGAAAAAATAAATTAGCCGAGCTGGTAAATTACTTTTCCAGACTAGGCTTTTCTATTATCTCATCTAACGCAAGATCCTGTAAACCATCAATAAGAATTTTAAATGTATTCTCAGATGATAATCCTTTGAAGAATATATTTTTAAGAAGTTCTTCAGGATATTCCTTGCTTAAATTACACTCTTTCAGTTTCGAATAATATTTCTTTACTGTATAATTGCCTTGAATTATTCTTCCAAATAAAAAATTCATTTTTTTGGACCATTCAAGATTCGCCTCTTTTTCCCATACATCATTTATACTGTGAGAATTTTTTAGGTCCTGTTCTGAAAGATACTTTAGAATGAATGGTAATAGTTCAGGTGAAAGTTGTTCTAGTAAATTAACTGTATACAGTCACATCTCGATATAACGAAGTTGCCGCTCTAGCCGATCAGGACTTCGTTATAAGAATCTTCGTTATAGCGTTAACGAATTATTCATTATAGTAGATGATTACTGATTTCAT